CCCACTTATACACGTTCTGTGAAGCCTCAGGGGCAGCCATATGTTTGCGAGTCAGGTCTGGCACTCTAAAACTTACGATTCTACCACTGCACCAACACATTGCCTTTCCCTGCTAACTCACTTATCTTTCCCTTGGCATAATGCTGTGACATTCACCTCATGCTTAATCCCACTGGGGCATCATCCTCATTCTCCACAACACAGTATTTCCTAAACTCTGTACATCCTGTTGATCTTGTGTGCCTTACTGTCCGTCGCATTGGATATATGTACCCATCTGGAGTTCTCTGTGGCATTTGCTGTTCATTGACCATCGTTGCCAGAAAGGCTGATGTGAATTAGCTCACCCTGTGTCTACACTGAAAGTTAAGTGCAGGCCCAAGACTTGCCTGGCATCTGCCTCACCCTCAGCTTTGAAGCTTGCTGACAAGGGAGAGCCTACACATGATCTGCATCCGAACCAAAACCAGACCCTCATTTATGACCTCAATATATACCTGGCCCCGGAAGGTCTCAGGTTGCTGGAGATTAGCCCCTTGGGAGATATGTCAAGCACAACTGCTTTGAGTCCCTGCAGACCAACAGCCAGCAGTGTGGACAGAAAATGCTAGGTCTTGGTATTCAAGACTGCTGCTTGAGCTGGGCTGTATCCAATGGCTACTGTAGGTGTAAGCTAACAGCCTTGGCTTATGCTGGGGAATTGAGTACTGCCAACCTTTCCATTCCCAGGGGCCAGATCACCACCTAGAGTGAGGACTTGGAAGGACATGACTTAGCCCTGGCTGAGAGTCTGGCCTGAGGGCTCACTATGGCCAGTACTCTCCTTCACATCAGCTTGGGTGATTTTGAAGAATAGGTTTCCTTTGTGTGTTTTATCAGCCATCAGTGTTTAACGTCTGCCATTCCACTGTATGTGCATTGTCAGTCTGTCTTTGTAAGAAAGAAAAGACTGATTTAGCAAGGAAGAATCTTCTTCCTTTCAAGTAGATGGGCATAGGTGAGGTATGACTGTATCTGACTGGTCTGTGCTTACAGTATGGAGTTAAAGAAGTGTTTTGGGCCATTTCTCCCATCCTGGAAACTGATTTCACCCAAAGGACAATTTACTTAACTGGGCTATGCTACTAGGCAAGATGTTCTCTCCATACCAGTTCTCACCTTGGCATACCATACGTGGTCAAAGAACAGAGCTTCCTATTGCTGGGGGATCCTCCTATTCAAGTCTTCTGAAGTGTTTTTGCTGTAATGTTGTTCTTAGCTGTTGATGAGAGGTGACTTGTTGCATGGTTACATAGTCCCATAGGCCATGAGCTTAACAGCTGCAAGAAACCTGAATGCAGCAGAGCTTGCTTAGTTCTGCAAACTGGGAAACTTGCATTTGGTGTGTATGATGCTGCTGTTGGAGTAAGTAAAGCTTTCAAACCTGGTAACAGCAGTGAGCAGTTCATCTCTCTATAGTATCTTTCCATGACTAGAAGTGCTTTTATAGGCCCTGGGATGGCCCACTGGGATATAAAATAGAAAAATTAGTAGTTGACATGAAAGCTTGCTTAGTTCTGCAAACTGGGAAACTTGCATTTGGTGTGTATGATGCTGCTGTTGGAGTAAGTAAAGCTTTCAAACCTGGTAACAGCAGTGAGCAGTTCATCTCTCTATAGTATCTTTCCATGACTAGAAGTGCTTTTATAGGCCCTGGGATGGCCCACTGGGATATAAAATAGAAAAATTAGTAGTTGACATGAAAGTGCCCTTTGTTGAAATCCAGGGAATTGAGATTTCTCTGATTGTTTTTTTTCTTTTCTTTTTTTTTTTTTTTTTTTTTTTTTTGCAAATTAGCTGCTTTTAAGAAAGACAACCTCACATTGAGCACCTTTTCACTTGTCCACATAAAAACCATGCTTGGCCAGATAGAGGGGCCTGGCATCTGTCCCAATTCCAGTTTCACTGAATCCAAATAAAAAGCAACCTGAGTGTGAATCCAATTAAACAGGAGAAACCTTTGTAGCATTTCATATGCATATATTTACCTTAGCACTACCAAAGCTGCTGAGGGGACTCCTTTGTAAAATGGGAACACTTCTTTTTATAATGTCTCCTGGCCTGTGGACATGGTAATGGCAAGACATGAGGAAGGATGTGATAGGAGAGGAAAGCATATGTTAGATGACACCACTGGAGCAGCTGAAGGTAAAGTAATGGATTTTTGTTAAATCAAGGATTTATTTATTTGCTACTGCTGCTGTTTTTAGAAAACTACTTGGAGCATTGTGCCAGTGCATAGCTAGTAGCCAGATAGGTGTGGATTTAAGGGTTACCATGGTCATTGCTTTTTGCTGGGCTATTCCAAGGTTGGGACTATGAGAACTGCAACATTAAGGAATCTTGACAATGCCTTGTTTTGTATATGATTGCATTCAGGGGTACATGTGTCATGGTTTACCTCTGACAAGAAAAACAAGTGATGCAAGTGAAAAACAATTGCTCACCACTAACTGACTGATGCCCAGCCTGTTGCTGAGCAGTGGCTCCTGACCAGCTTTGCCCCTACTTTATATGTTAAGCATGATGCCATATGGGATGGCAAGGCAGGAGGGCTCTGCAGAGAGACCTGGACAGGCTGGAGAGATAGGCTGATTCCAATGGGATGAGGTTAAATAAGGCCAAGTGCTGGTCCTGCACTTTGGCCATAACAATTCTGTGCAGAGCTACAGGCTGGGAACAAAATGGCTGGAGAGTAGCCAGGCAGAAA